GTTGAAGAAGATCTTAAGAAAATCACTAGATAAGTGGCACAGTTCCCTATCAATGAAAGACAGCTACATTCATCCCCATATTTAAGAAATACAACAAACAGCTGCCAAGTAACCACAGCTTGTGAACTTTACTAGCACAGGACGGAAGGTAAGAGAGATGATGCATGGAAACTGTTAAACCAAACCCTGACTAACAATATTATTCCCCAACAGCAACCAGGCTTTATTACTGGAAGGTCTACCACTACAAATTTTCTCAGTGCACTTGATGTCCGGACAGAGCCTATTGATGAAGGAAACTTAATGGACATAATCAACTATAGGTTCTCAACAAGGTCACTACAGTCCACCTGGGGGTCGATGAAATTTTGAAAGGAAGTCAATTATGATACAGGGGTCAATTAGGGGTTCTTTTGATTATAAATATAAAACTTTCCCCCCCTGTTATAGAGCAACAAATTATATAAATTACACATTTGTTCCTCTTTGGTTGTATCCATCATTTATCCTTAGGATTAAGGTGTAGCTGGTGCAACCAGTGCATTGCTCCGGGTACCTGAAATAAGAGGCACTTAAAAAGGCTCCCTCCCCTGTGCACATTTTCTCCATTGCACCAGACTTAATTATACCAATTAGATTTAAAAGTATTAATTGCAAGTTTATTGCAGATAGGGAGAGCCATAGATAGTCCCATTTCAACTTTCTGCATCAGGACATTCCAGAACCCATCTAAGCAACAGTTTAGATGCTGAGAAAATTTAAAATCTATTTATTCACGAAGATATTATAATGCTGAGAAGCAGAAAAAATGTGAACTTTATTTTTAGGTTTTGATTTTCGTTGTCCTTTGTTTTTATGTTCTGAGTATATCATAAAAATTGCATTTTGTCACAAGATAACATCAATGAAGATCTGTTAGAAACTAAGCTAGTCAAAAGTCAAGAAAATTGGAATATTTATGAAAATATTGGTGTACCAAATTGTTACATTTTGGACATTTATAAACATGTCTTCGAGTTATGATTATGTATGATGAATATTATTCTAAAGAAAAACATAAGGGGCCAATGAAGCCTACAATTCTTTCAAAAGGGGATGATAAACAAAAATGATTGGGAACCCCTGATTTAGACTATGCAAAAGCCTTTGATAGAGCTTCTGCACAAAAGGTTAAGGTTAAAGAAACTTGAAGCTTAAAGTGGAAGGAATAAAGTGAAAACTACCTTAATGGATCCAAGATAATTAACCATTCAAGGCTGATTTCTTTAAAATTTTTTGTGGCGCCTGGTCGAGTTTAATTCATTAGCACACCACTGCATCAAATAATAATAAATATATAAAATAATTTCTTGAATTTAATTTAAATTGTTTATTTCAATTTTTCAAGGTAGTACCTTCACTATATGTTTGTGAAGTGGAATTGCTATGCAGATGTTACTAAATTATACGGCGACCCAAGATTATACTACCATGATATTCAAGAAAACTAGCACAGGATTGAGAGATCGACTACTTGGCTGCTTATCCTGAGTAGTAGAAAATGTACAATTTAAATTGAAAGAGAGAACCCTAGATACCAGTACTTGATCAAGGAGCAAAGACTAACACCTACATCTCAAAACGACCTAGGAGTAATTGTAAGGCATGACTTGTAATGGGAGTTGAGTACCTGCAGTCACCAGGAAAGGGAATCGCATACTCTGCTTCACGAGAAAAGTTTTCTCGAAATTAAAATTTCCCTTTTTGGAGGAAATTCACACAATGTTCGTAAGGCCAATTTTGGAATATGTAACGGTTGTTTGGCCTCATTATTATAGAAAGGATATACAAACTCTAGAGAGGGTTCTAAAGCAATCTTTACAGATATACAGCACTTAAGCCAAGAGAAAAGACGCTACAAAATGTCCTTACTAACATTGGAATACAGGATGGGAGACCATCAAAATTTTGAATAAGGCTTACAGCACTTGAACTCTAGATAACTTCTGCAAGAGAACTTCAGATTTGCGACTCCGTGCACATATTTTGAAAAGCCAACACGAACTGACTAAAACTCTACAGCGACACAATTTTATTAAAATTGGAATGGCACGAATTTACCTATGTATTAATTTTCATTGTAAATGTTTACTGAAGTAAAATTGAGTAATAAATATGTACTTGTGTATTCAGCTTTTGCTGTTGTAATAAATAATATCCCAATACTAACTTCTCCAACAAAACATACTGCCATAAAAAGTGTGTTCTGAACATAATGAATAATTACGCAAAATGCTAAATATGTATGATTTTTATATTAGGGGCATTTTGGTTTATTTTTCAAGATAAAAGTCCAGTGGGTTTCCCCAATGACAGGACAATTTGTGCCATGATATTGACATGATATTTTTATATTATTAACAATACTTTTGTTTAGAGACTTGATGGAATCTACAAACTCATCTCTATCTGTATTCCCCCAATTTAGAAAGCTACTTGCTAGCTTCATCATTTTGAACATTGTAACTCCATAAGAGTATCTGTGGTTTGATGCAAGATTGTAGAATAGTCTACTCGCACGAGCATTGAACTCAGGAACCGAGTGTGTCACAAGTGATAAGAAAGATTACTTAACATATATAACACTGCTTCACAACGACTTCCTGTGGTTTATAAATCTTTTATAACTACTTTATTTTAATTTATTACTATAATAAGGAAGGTATCTGGGACTTTGCTGGATCACTTTTATATGAAAAATAATTTGAAAAATTTGTCTACATCTGAGTAATAATTGAAGATTAAATTTTAAATAGAGGCATTGACATCGATTGCACTTGGTGGATAATTACCAACCGATTTATATTCCAAACACTTTTCACACTGTCTCTGACAACATGATCCTCAAAAACATATTCAGGGCCCAATTGGTAGAATTAACAAGATAATGTATGTCTTAAGTCTCTCTTCATAGCAACCCTTTCCAAGACAATCATCAAATTTATACTGAAACATCTAACAGGGTAACCAATAATATGACATTATTTGACATTTATCTGGGTTCATAACATGTTTATTTCTTTTACTTCATTGAACAAAATGATTAAGATTAATCTGAAGGATTTTTGCAATGAGCTGATCTGATTGACAAAAAAAGTTTCATATTGTCTGCAAAAATCAAAACAATAGTTGAAAGTCAAGCTCAATGTCAACATCATTGCAGTTCTTGCAAATAACAGCACCTAGATAGGATCCCTTAGGAACGCCATTTAATTTGTTTGAATATTATTTTACACTGTGATCATGATTCCACTTTCACTGAAAGATCCTGAAGTTGCAGCACAGTGCTGTTCAAACATAAATAGGAATATTATTTCCCTTTTCCCCCCTGAGATGCTTTCATGCTTAGCATTCTTCCTAAGGCTCTCTAGAAAATGGTTAGTCATGGAAATTATATCAATTTTGTTTTTATATCAAGTGCCTACATTACTAATGCTAATCACTTGGGTTAGGTCTGACTAATTAGCTCACACATTTTTAGTTGGCTTTGTGTAATTCGTATGTTCGATATCACTTTTGTATTGCACATTGGAAACATAAAAACTTTCATCACATCAAGAAAATTAATTATTAAACTTAATTGTTTTTTGAGCACTGCAAGTAGATAATCTAATTTATACAGTCAAAAATAACACACCTTTCAAAATCAAAGAATTAACCAATATGGAAGAAAGGCTTCTGTGTAAAATCTCCCTACACGTTTGACAGTTGAGCATTGCTGAAGACTGCATTGCTGTGCAAATTATATTCTTCCATCGGCCACACAGGCACCAGCTGTTCATTCAACAAAGTCAGTCAGTGTGTGTAGTTAGGGATTAGGCATAGTTCTCGCAAACGATTTACTTTGCTCCAATATCAACACTAAAATGATTGTAACAAATTATGCAATTTGCGACAAAAAGCATATGAGAATATGCATGCATGTAAATTAAGTCCTCACACAGTAAATGGACAGGCCATAAATAGAGAATTTCGAAGAGCTTTTGTTGCTTACTATCATCATGCTTTACATTTAAATCCACATTAGGCCTGTAAATAACATTTCTTAAAAAGGAAGTTTCTCTGTGTAGGTTTCTTGCATACTAGCTACATAAATATATTGATATTATGTGAACATTCTCCTCTTGACGGAACAACAAGAAAACGGATTGAGCACAAGTTACCGTATATGATAAATGCGAGACATTTCTATGAGTTAACTTACTGAACATGTTACCCAATATGGTTTGGCATCAGTGAGTGTCAAAAATATCACACTCATGACTTTAAAACGTGGTAGATTTGATGAACATATGAATATGCAATCAAAATACAAATTACATTTTTTTCGAAGCTGCTTAGTTAAGTTTTTTTTAACATTTAAGTACACAAGGTTGGAAATATTCATTTTCCCAATAAGCAAGTAGAATTGTGAGATATAAAGGAAGGCTTGTAACAGTTCACCATTAATATGTCAGGTCCACCCCTCACCTACTAGATTATTAAGAATTTAAACTCTTCCAAATAGTTCCAATTTTAAACAATTTGCACCACACACTGCCCAGAACTTCATATGGTGGAGAAAACTTTATACTTTAGAATTAGTTAAGCACAGAAACAAAAGATGAATAAAACTACCTGGGATGCATAAAACCTCTTGGTATCTCCATGTACTACCTTATATCAGCATAGGAAAAATTGAAGTTTTGACTCGTGAAATATTGAAAGAAACAATCTTTGATTTTGTAAATAAAACAAACAAATCTCAAAACACACTCACATGCTGCACAAAATACATGCAGGAAACTTATGCACGTTCATTAAAAATAAAAATTAATATTCATGATTTTGAAAGAATTTTCCGGCTATTCTGAGCTCTGAAAAATGAACATTGAGGGTGACCAATAGCAATAACTTTTAACATTAAAAGCAAATAAATAAGAATAAAAAGGTCACTAGAACTTAACTAAAAGCAATCACACTCAAACCATACTTCCATAAAAATCCAAACAGAACAAAACATAAGACAGGCAAAGGACAAGCTCTTGTTCGTGCATACCTTGGGGGCGAGGGGAGCCACCCGCAGGCCCATAGGATGGTCCATACGAATTGGGCAAGCCCAGCCGCTGGCCTGGGGGCTGGCCTGGGGGACCCACGTCATCAAAAGGGTTGGAAACGCTAATGTTATCCCCCGGACCTTGCGTCGGCACCCCTACACCTAGCGGGCAGGTAGATAAGCAGTGTCTTGGATTCAGTGTCATTGAGTCTACAGATGTCCTCCAAAACCCCACTCAGCCCTTGAATAATGTATTACTCCAAAACTCTGGAGGGGAAGTGACAATTTTCCCTTAAAAATCATTGCATTTCTATTTAAATGTAAGGAATGAAACAGAGGGTTTCATGCAGTGACATGTAAAATTTGTAAAATAAAATTATTACAATTGGAGGAATACTAATGCAGTTTAAGAGGTGCACACTATAATCCATTTTACTGCTAACTTGACCTGGCAATGCTTGACAAGATCCAAAATAAAAAGCTATTGTTCGTAAGTGCACTATACTCTATGTACACAACTTCAACACTGATAAGCAAGGAAATACAAGTGAACTAAATACTAGCTTGTTCAAGCTCTACATAGCAACTAAATTTCCACAGGAAGCTTAATATTCTGCTATGTAAGCCTTTTATTTATAGTTTAACATCCAAAACTAAACCATACTTAATTTGCAAGCATTCCACCTGTCCAAGTATCATGTAGTATCAATTAATTGGTAGACCACACGATTTTGAAGAACATTCCTGTCCTTAACAGTCGATTCGAAGAGAAGTTTGCTGGTCTACCCCTTACTATTGTTAATAGTAAATGACAATTACTACTCACTAACATTTTAATAATAATAATAACAATAATTAAAAAGCTTAATAATACAATTCATAAAGAATGTACAGTACATATGCTATAAAAAATGTATTTACCAAGAGCTCCTGTCTCGATGCGAGTAAAGTATTGTCTGTATATTAAGATAAGTAATGTCTGATAAATACCTGGATGAGGAGAAGGAGCATTAGTTTGAGAGGCAGGTCGTTGTAAAGGAGTATTGAAGTCGGGAGTACTGCCAGGTGGGTATCCATAAGAAAACCCATCCATTGAAGCACCACTTGAGCCTGCTGCTGGAAAGGAATCTTGAGAATTTGATGAACCTGTATATTGATACAAAGTTACTGATCACTAAAGAAGTCCTGCAAATGCTACAACGGCATATATTTCCTAGCATTATTGGGAACTTTTGCAATTTTCAAAATTAAATGAAATAAACGAAAATAAGATTGATGCCATTTTTATGAGTGTACTTTGTATATGTCTACCTGAGAAAAAAATTGGAGCCATTTTTGAGAAAATTTTATAAATGTACTTAGGATTTCATGTAACGTATAAACTGAAAAATTTGTTTCAAATTCTAACGACTGAGGCATCAGTAAGATCGATCAGGGAATATCAATTTTGGTGAAAATCCTGCCTCCGGTTTAACTGCTAGAGTTGTTTCAGACAGACTGATAAACCAATTTTTCGGTATCGAAGACCCCCCAAAAAATTCTTCAGTTGCAGATACATGAAGTACACGAAAAGGCACACAACATGAATTAACTAAAGCATTTTACTCTTCTAGCAAGGAATGAAGTTTCTTTTCATTTTCCTTTCAATTAAAGGGCAACTAACTTTAAGCAAGAATACAATGCATCACGAAGCTACAAAAGAGAGCAACTAAGGAGAAATGCATCTGGTATTATTCCAAGCAAAACTACAGTTCACAGGTATCACTCAAAGAATATTCAGAGTGCTAATCAAAAACTGGAAAAATTATTATGCTTCTGCACATTGGAAGTTCTTAATTCCAACATTACAATTAGGTTTGATATGAATCACATCCATCACAAGTCTATTCTTTTCAATACTTCAGGAAGACAGCAAAGGCATTGGAGGCATTGAAGACAGCAAAGGCTCCAAACAACTTTTATTTTTTATCAGTTTGTTATGACAGAAACTCTTGGAAATGCCTCTTATAAATATTTTGTAATATACAAGTTAATTCTTTCTTAAAGCAAACAATTTTTAAAAAAATTGTCATTATAATAAGATTATATTTGTAATCTCAACAATTAAGATTTAGAATTCATACCTGGAGAAGGTACAGATACCGCCTTCGGACCCTTTTTCTTAGATGTTGCTTCCACTTGATTAATAATCGATTGTGGATCTATACCCCCACGATCAAAATGGCACTCATAAGCCAGAAGATTTTTCATGTAATGCTTTCTTAATGTGTAGGCAGCACTTGATGAAGCTCCAATACCAAGCAACCCAGCAATATCCTTCCATGTCTTATTCTTAGTCACCTGAAAGGATACAGGTCATATAACAGAGGACAGATATTGGAAGTTACTAAACATATCCATGCAACAGCAAAATGATAATTCATATAAGAATAATATGAAATGGATCTTCCAAACTACACAATGACCAAACGATAAGTTCATTATCCAATTGAGATAAATATGTGTCTCTAATGAAAAAGAATAAAGAGAAAAACAAACAAATCCATCACATGTATCACTCAGGAGAGTATATAAATTTCTGTCATAACTGACAATTTCCTTGATTTGACAGTTCAGGTTTCACAGATTGGCTCAATATAGATTGGCTATGAGTGTGAGAAATCTTGCAGTAAATTTAAGAAAGATTGAGAATATTGTCCAACTAATTCACCTCATTTCATATCACCAATACGAATACATACACGGTTATCTGGTAAGATCCATATTTTAATCTTGAAGAAATATACCAGTTTGACTCTTGACACACAATACAAAAATGAAACCCACTTACTCCAAAGGCACATTAGGTACAACTAAAAACTTGAATTTTGTTTAAGGAGAGTTCTTTATGTTTCTTTTAGCATTGGTGGTAGAACAGTGAAACCTCAATACCGAATGATCTTATGAATACCAATTTGAGTTACAAACAACCCTAGACACACATGGAAAAGTGGAACTAGCACCATGATTTCCCAATGTATGTTTCTGTAACAAATTTAAATGCATACACTTCATTTAATTCTCAAGATCTTATAAAAACCCTCAAAATTATTTTTGAATGTTCTAGCAAAACCCTAGCAGAAGACAAAATGTTGAAAGCATAGCTCAAAGGGGGCCTTTGCAAGCTGTAGAGTAGATTTTCAACACGAAAGGAGTTTCAGAGCACTCTTGAATTTCTCACTCTTTGAAAGTAGCTTTTATCAATGATTATGAGATTTAAGGGTGGTACCCTGCATAAGATGTGTTATGCATTAGAATCAGTGTTGAACATAGTAGTTAAGATTTTCTTTGCTGGCAGGAAATGAAGTAATTGGCACTTTTATTTGAAACTTTCATTTTTCATTGATTGATTAGTGATTCTGGGTACGTCAATTGCAAAGGCCATTAGTCCTATAAGGGGATGTGAGTTTTTATCATGGGAGGTGGTGTTGACCTTTTCTCTGCTGGATGGCGACATCCTGTGCCAATCAACATCAATCGATGCAGATTTTCCGCAACCAGGTATTTCCCACCAGCATGGCTCTGCCCTAGCCGATACAACCTCTAAGCTCCCGACTAGTTTCCTGACAAGTGTGGTAGGGTAGTGTGAGTGTAGGTATGTATAAGTAAAGGGTGAGAATAGACCAAGCAAGGGGACGGAAAGATTAAGCGCGGTCCGTGTCCTGAGCACCGCTCTAGATTTTGTCTGGTATTGATTGGAAAAAACCTGGAAAACTACCGATCAAGGCAATCTGCCACTAGAATTGTCATCCAGACAGCTGCTGCATTTCAACTAGCAATGAAGCTTGCGATGAAATTTCTGCCATCATCAAAACTAATCATGGAACCTCCTGATCCGAGGCACTGCAATAACATGGAACAGGAACAGATGCCCTGAGTCGTTTGCCAGTAATAATTTTTCTTTGAGAAGGCAGACACATAGGAAGGAAAGATACCATAAACATTTTGTCTAATTTTAATTCAGTAGAGTAAAAAGGAACATTAATATCAAAACCCATGTTCAAAAATCATGTGTTACTAGAAATTGAGATTCATCTTTCATAATATATGCATTAGTTAATGAAAATTAATGCATGTGGGTATATTAAAGTTAAGGCGAAAGAAAAATAAGAGATTTCGAAATAAAAAGGAATTGAATTTATTGAGGTTCCACAGTTTAAGGGAGTTCACCGTTTCAGATACTTCTACCATGACTTGTACACACACACATTTGTACTAAGTCTAACACGACTCAAACATTCTTAAATCAGGCAATCCTTTGCAGCAATGTACTATTTATAGATACTTATCACTATCAAGTATTTAAGTGGGTTCCATTTCAGTCTTCATAATTAATTTACTGAGATGCAGTACAACAATATGAAGAAACGAAATTTCATGCAGAGGACTCTACTAGAGCTCATTGAAAAATATTGAATTTGGGAGCCTCATGAACAGTTTTAAGTGCAAACATTTATATGCGTGCAAACAACGCTGATCAGAACAATGAAGTACATGGAAAGCATGTGAAGACTTCACTGTAATGCCTATTTAAATGATGTTCTGTGTCCGTTATCTCCTTTTCTAAACAATACATCTGGCTTTAAACATGAACATGTGGGACTCACATATATTGGTGATTTCATGTAATTAAAATAATAATTACTATAATTCTTGAAACAAAATTTTATATATAAATAAAAATTAAACAACAATGCAGAACATTCTCACACCATTTACACATATTTGACGACCAAACGAAACAGTGGAAATACAATTTTAAGGTTAAATACTTCTGGTGCTGAAAATACTATCACAAGAACAGTGCATTTCTATCTCTGATATAGTATTTAGACATTTGAATACAAAACCCACATGACCCCACATTCTCAACCGGACATTGCCAGTAAATGTAAACATGCGTCCAAAAACAAAGTGCCACAGCAGTACCTCATAGCAGAAAAAGTCAAGCACTCCCCCCTCTCGTGCTGGGAGGGAGGGGAGGTATATATTATTTGTCCTGTTATTCACAGAGTTTGATTTCCTTTGTTCGTGCTGTGCTAGTTGTTGATTTATTCGTGGAACACACAAAATAAAATAAATAAAATATTTAAATTTTCTAATGAAAATTACCTCACCACCATTCAGTATACATCTTTGTTTCAGGGAAAGAAAAAGTTTGCCCCCAAAATTACATGTGCTGGTTTCACAGTATTGATGTATTTGCAGTTCCGTAGATTCCAAAGTTAAAATATGAAGTTAGTTTTATTTTTCATGGTTTCATAGTTAACATTCAATTTGTAATTTTACGCTCCTTCACACTAATTACAACTATTGTATTTGTTCTTAGCAATGGAGATCCTTCTCATATTCCCATGACCAATACACAAAAACACAATCAACCAGGATTACTACTCTTATAATAAATATCCTACATCAATTACACTTGCACCAACAATGCTCCACCTTAGTTTCCTCTAGGGACCCTCGCCACAGGAATAATTTGAAATTAATTAGATCAGGCAGCAAAGCCAGTCCCAAAGAAGAAAGACATCCATACAGTGCTATATATAGCTATAAGTGTGTGTGTGTGTGTACACACACACACACACACACACACACACACACTTATAGCTATATATAGCACATGTATATAAAAACCCATAGCAAACTAATGATCTCTGATTTGTTAGAGTCATCTACGCCCCCAAATAACAGAACTATTAAAATATCAAAAAATTCTCGAGACGAAAAAAGAAAAGAAAAATACAACAACAAAATATTCATGGCAAATGTAACGGCTCGCAACACACAGTAATAGACTGTATCGTTAAACAACCCGTAAACCAAGTATTCTAGGGCATTAAAAACTGAAGTATTGAGGTCAAAGATATCAAAGAAACATTTCACGCATCGTAATCAACAGGTTGAAATCTTTTGAACATTCTATTGCATTTTTACTGGTCCAGCGCTTCTTGATATTACCCACCCTGCTCAGAGAATGCAGAATCTGCAACTAAATGTGTATGAGAGGGGGAGAGAGATGGGGAGCGACGGAGAGAGAGATGGAAAGAGAGCGGGAGAGGGAAGGAGAAAGAGGAAGATGAAGGGCAGAACGTCAGATGGGTTGTGTTAATATACCAATATAAAAGCTTGTTCTGTTATCACCTACACCATAAATTATATATCAAAACATTCAGAAAAAATCTAATATATAAATAAAACTAAAAATCAACAAGTAGTGTCCGCCATCAGAATTCATGAGGTACTCCTGAGAAAAAAACCTAAATTTATTAAAGTTATGAACAAATTATTTTAATTGCAAGGGATATCAAGAATGCTTTGAATTACTACTGTTTTGCCCTGAAGTGAGTTTCATTTCTGCACCTTAAAGCACAGCTTCTGTAACACTAGTCAACAATATTTTACACATTGGTTTTCCTTCTATATATAGGAATTCGATTTTTTAAATTTCATGCTTATATTTATCAACGCCCAAAATGGTTTGCCGAGGATAACAAGCAACATCTTTTACCCCCAATGATGGGGATCCCTTGCCATGGCTGAATCAATGTGAAACAAGAAATGCATTTTATAACCTTATTATCTTAAAATAATGACTATTTTCTGTTAATTTTACTTTTCTCATGAAATAAGAGTTTTTCCCAGTCTTGAAACAAAAATGGATGTGTTAAATACATTCTAATTCACAATAACTAAATGCATTTTTTATTTAGAATACCATATACTCTTTAATAATGTTAAAAAGCTGATTAGTAAACTTAACAAACAAACATACACACATTCAAAGTAGTGTTTTGAACACACTATGTAGTATTGTACCCAAGGGATATTGGCAGTTCAAGGTAATGAAGACTAAAATTTTTCATTAAAACACAGTTTTTGTCTATTTTCTTGAAGAATATTGAAGCTGTATTTATTGCTATGTAAAGCTTTAAAAAGTAACAAATTCAGACTTTAATGATTTTGTTATGCGTATACTACTTGCATAGTAAAAACTAATGAGTAGTCATACATTCTTTGACGGAAAAACTCATTCTGGGAACCTAATATGAAAAAGTAAATAATTATTTCTTCTGTACTTAATGAATTATTACCTCTAGTAAGTTGTGTAGTCAGAATCCATGTTTTGTGGGTCCTTCATACTGAAAAACTGGTTAATGGCAAAAAGTCTCTGTGCCTGTGTTCTAAATTTTTCGATTCATTGTTTTACTAGGGCAAAATATGCTTATAAAAATGGCGCAGGTCTGATTTTCCTGAAATTCCCTTTTGTTGAAAATTCCGAAAGTAAAAAAAAAGAA